TCACGGAACACTGGTTTCCACTAGACCAGGAGGCTCTCCAAATCCAACCCCCTCCTTCAACACCACCAGCTTGTGCTGCTCAGGGCAAAGTAACCAATTGTCCAAGAGAGCCGTGTGTGTTTGCGCGCGCGTGCGTGCGTGCGTGTGTGAAGCCAAGTTATCAGTATTAAAATCCTGCGCAACAGGAGCGTCCTTTAGAGGGAAGGGACCTCCTGGGATGTCCCTAAGTCGGGTGCTCAAGGCAGCAGGGCCTCCAGGTGTCACTGTCCACCCGTGGTTTACCTGGTAGCCATAGCCATCTCTGCCTGAATGTCCCACAATGGCCTCCTCGCCACTGTCCCTGTGTCCTCTCTTGGTTTCCTACAGGCTGTTCTCGACCCAGAAGCTCTGCTCTGGGGCGGCCCAGAAACAGCACTGAAGATGAGGAAGGTGACTCCTCAGCAAGATGAACAGGCCCTGGCCAGCAGGGACCACGCCACCATAAAAACCAGAGCTGGTATTTACTGAGCTCTGGCACAGGATTTCACAAGTATCTAATCATATCGTCACGACTATCCTCCCTTCACACATGAGGGAGCTGGAAAGCAAAGCGATGAAGTGGCAGAGCTGAGATCTGCACCAGAGCTGCTCCGACGCCAAGTCGGGATCACCGCCATCCTCTCCCCTCGGACCCACCCTGACTTACTCCCTCCATGGCCCTCCGCCCCTACGGGGGCTGCCCAGGTAGAGCGCTCAGTTGGCTGACAGATTGAATGGGTGAGTGAAGGCAGCCCTGCTCCTGTTAGCTATCTGTGGAGCTGAGGAGAACTACCCACCCAGAAGAGCCCTTGAGTGAGGGCTCATTGTCAGGACACTTCCCAAGGGCAAAGGAGAGAAGGGCTCATGCTGGGGTGAAAGGAGCAAGGAAGCCTTCATGCAAGGCTGGAAATAGAGGGGGCCATGGAGAGGCAGCACCGGGAGGTTCTAGAACAATCACCTGTGCGCAGATTCCTGCCCCGCCCCCCCAGGATGCTGGTCCCAGAAGTCTAGGCTGGGAGCTGAGGAACCTGCATTTTGACAGCTCCCTGGGTGACCCTACACGTTCTGAGACACTCATGGATAAAGCAGACAGAGCTGAGCATCTGACCAGGGTTCAAATCCCACCTCTGTTTCTTAGCTGCATGATCTTGAGTGACTTTCTTAACTTCTCCTAAGCCTCAGATAAGTAGAAGGCAAGGCTGGAGACCCATTTATTTGTCCAGCTCTCAGCTGAGATGATAAGTGCGTGGTCAAGGACCACACATGCACATTTGTGCGCTTGGCACTGAGGATGCAATAGTAAGTAAAAAAAAAAAAAAAAAAGGAACTTGGCCCCGGGGATGGGGGCTGGGGACTGGTTACAACCTGGTGGCCCATCCAGGGCCAGAGAGTAGGTTACAGGGAAGGCTCTCTTGGGGGCCGACCTGTAACCCTGGGCCTGGCTGCCTGGGCTAGAAGGTGGCTCCTGCCTGCCCTGTTGGGTCCTTGTACCTCCCAAGCCGCCTGGGCCAGGAGGGCTGAGTCATGGAAAAAGTTAGTTCTTCAGGCTGCAGTTTGCCTCCCTCCTCCATCAAGCCCACAAAGGCTCCTTTCACATTTGGGGGGCGGGGGGGGGAGGGGTGGCGACTGTGGGGCCCTCTCCCCAGGCTGGGATGTGAAATTTCAAACTTTGCCTTGGCGTTAAATTCCCCAGCCCTTGCCCCAAAGGAAACTAAGAAGGAGGGGTACCAGGAGGGAAGGACGTGGGATGGGGGGGGGAGAGAAGGAAGCAGGATTGTGTCCATGCAGCTCTCACTGGAGCCCGGCCACAGGGACCCTCTGTGCCAGCCTGCTGAGCTGAGCACCCCCCCCCCACCCAGCGCCCCGCATCTTCATCTGCATGTGGCACTTGGGGGTTGGGGCACAGAGGAGGTGACAGCACTTCTCTGGGCAGCTGACGATGGACAAGGCCTGAGTCTCAGAGGGATGCCAGGCCCACAAAACCCACATCCTGAAGGTAGAACAAGGAGAAAAAAGGTGTCTGTTTCCTGGCCAGAGTCCAACCCCAACTCCTTTTAGGATTGTCTGACATATTCCTTTTTCCTGGTTTCACCCCAAACCTGATGGCTGGGAGAGGGAAGAGAAGCCCCATGTGTAGCCTTGGGTGACTTAGATTTGCTGAGCCCCTGTTTCCTCCTGAATTAAATGGGGACAATGACATCCACCTCCTTGGGCTGTTAAGATTAGGTGAGAATATGCTTAAAGGCCCTGATGTGCTGAAGGTCAGTTTGGGTTCTCAGCCTTCTTCCCACTCAAACACACACCCAGGGAAAATGTAAGTAGGACCTAGTGGTTAGCCAGCTGGTCTGGCATCTGAGTGGTGTAGGGTAGCTGCTTGGGGATCAGGGGACTGATGTGACCATGCTGCTGTGTGTATGAGTTGCTTAACATGTCGGTGCTTCAGTCTCCCCATAAAGCAGCAGGTGTGTGTGTGTGGCGGGGGGAGTGAGGCTGTGACCTTTGTGAGACCTTTTAGGCCTCAAAGAAAAAAGGACAGCTGGGGGGGTTAGCAGGAACATAGGAGGCTGGAGGCTGGGGCCGCTTGGAGGCGCAGTTTCGCATCCAGGCCACTAGGCGGCCTCAAGGATAACAGA